GAGATAGACATTATTCCCAATTCCAATAGCAAATATCCAAGAGAGGAAAGCAGATTGTCTCAAATTGGGTGAGGTTTTCTCCCTTGGTCTGATCAGTGAGATGAGACCTCACAACATAAACCAAGATACCTTGCAGTGAAGGGGTCTGACTGGGATGGGAGGGGAGGGAGTTGTTGGCTGAAAGGCAGAGAAGACATCTCAAAATATGTCTACCATCTAAGAAAATCCTCCAAAGAAATGGATGATGGAAGCTAGTCACACAATCATCAACCAACTTGTTCCCTATAGTGGGCCAGCCATTACTGGGTGCTGAGTTACTCCCTACCAGAGACACTATTAGATGTACAAGATCTAAGAAAGCTTACAACTTAAGTGCTTCTTGTAAAAAACAAAATTACAGCAGCAGCAGCAACATCAACAACAACAACAACAACAAAACCCTGTAAGTTATCCACTAACAAAGCCAACACTATACCTAAAATATGGGATTTAAAAAAATGGAATTTAGGGGAGGCTTCAAGAATGGTGGAAGAGTGAATGTAAGGCACACTGACCTCCTCCCAGAATCAATTTGGAATTACAACTAAATTGTGGAGAAATCACCTGGAACAAACAACTGAACAATAGCAAGAGAGGAGCCTTATAACCTCAAACAGACAGAGCAATCGGCTTTAGCACAACCTAATTGGTAAGGAATGTGGTAGAGATTTAGAGAAGTTTTTACTTCTCATCGTTACTTTTCCAAACAGGTTCTCTATCCCTTCCTCCTCTTCTTCTCTTTCTGGCATCCCTATCATACAGATAGGATTACATTTCAGGTTGTTCTGCATTTCCCTAAATGCCTTTTCATTCTTTTTGAGTCTTTTTTTCATTTTCTTGCTCTTTCTGGGAGCTTTTTCTAACTTGTCCTCCAGCTCACTGATTCGATCCTCTGCTTCATCTAGCCAGTTTTTGATCCCTTCTACTGTGTTCATCAATTCAGAAATTGCATTCTTCATTTCCTCTTGTCTCTTACTGGTAGTTTCTATGTCCTTTATCATGCTGATATAGTTTGCAGTAAGTTCCTCATAGTTTCTCTGTAGTTTTTTGTTATTCTCTCTGAGCTCACTGAGTTTCCTTAGAACTGGTGTTTGGAACTCAATATCTGATAGTTTACTTGCCTATATTTCATTTACTTGCCTTTCTGGGGATTCCTCCTTTCCCTTTGGTGGGGGGTATTTCTTTGTCTTCCCATTATTTGTGACACTCTTCTCTTTTGCTTCTGCTTCTTAAATTGATCTGTCTTGATTTCCTGACTTTGTGGTGTGAACTTCTATGGTAGGAGACCACTGTTTTTACTTTCTGGATCTGCCTCTGATGATGTCAGATGTTGTCCTTGTCTGACCTTAGGCAGTCTGTTCGAGACTTCCAGGAATCTACTGTCTGTGGCTGTCTCCTTCAGTTGTTAATCTAGTCACTCTGCACTCATCAGGCCAGCTTAGACAGCTCAGGGTGCGGTGAAGTCCCTCCTGGGAGTGGGGTTATTGGGTCCTCTGATGCTGCTGCCACTCAGGGGATGTGGTCTCTGCCTGAGCAAGATGGCTGCTCCTCATGAAGGATGAGTCAGCACTGAGATCCTGCCGGCTACTCTCTCAGTTCTCTTCCCAAAGCCTCCTTCCCTAGTCTCTCCTCAGGCATCTCTAGCCCACTCTGCCCCCACCTTTGCCGGAGACCAGGGTAAGTGGCTGCAAACAAAAATTTATGTGTTGGCCCTTTAAATGGTTCTTTGCGTGTCCAGCCACCTGTCCCTGGCAGAGAGCAACTGTGCAGCTTTTTGCAGCTGGCTGTTTTCTGTGTACTTTTTGGGCTCTGGTGCTGTAGGCTGGAGATCCCCACTTTTGGTTTAGACCCCACTCTTCTCAGGGGGATTCAACTGGCCATTTCAATATCCTTCTGGTGCTGCTGCCCGTGGGCACCCCGCATGCCTTCTTGAGCCTTCTCTACCACACTCCTTACCAATTAGATTGTGCTAAAGCTGATTCTTCTGTCTCCAAGGTTATAAAGCTCCTCTCTTGCTATTGTTCAGTTGTTTGTTCCAGGGGCTTTATTCACAATTTAGTTGTAATTCCAGATGGTCCTGGGAGGATGTTGATGTTACTTCTACTCACTCCTCCGCCAACTTGATTCTCCTGTTTTTGGTTAATTTAAATAATAAACAAAAGCACTATTTAGTACATTTTTTTCTGACAATCTCTTTTTTAATATATGGGGAGTACATATTTTTAAAGGTACTTAGGGCTGAGGTGCTGTTTTCATTACCAAATAGAACTGCCTTGTTGGTACCAACTACTTTGGTATTTTCTGCTTAAAACACTTCAGTGTAACACCAAATGTATGGGACATTTTTCTTCATGCTGACAACCAATTATTCAACCTTCCAGACATCAGCTAGGTTCCTGACAATTTAATTCAATTCTGACTTTAACTACCTGGAATTAGCACAGACCCCAGAGGTAAGAACTGTCCTGTGAGACTGCTCCTACTTCAGACACCAATTGCAAATCTGGGCTATCCATACTTCTGATGGACTGGCTATAAATAGTGGGTTCCCATGACCTCTACCTTGGCTTTGATAATTTGCTAGAATGACTCACAGGACTCAGGAAAGTACTTTACTTAATATTACTGGTTTATTTTAAAAGTTACAACTCAGGGACAACCAAGTAGAAGAGATGCATAGGGCAAGGAGGAGGGCACATGGTGCTCCCAAGCCCTTTTCTGGCTGTGCCACCCTCCCAGCACCTTGATGTGATCACTGACCTGGAAGCCCTCCAAACCCTATTGTTTAGGGTGTTTATGGCGGTTTCATTACATAGGCATGCCTGATGAAATCATTGTTCATTATTGATTAACTCAGTCTCTAGTCTCTCTCTCCTCTTAAGTGGTTGGAAGAATGGGGCTGAAAGTTCCAACCCTCTAACCACATGGTTGGTCTTTCTGGTGACTAACTCCCAACCTGAAACTATCTAGGGTTCCCCAGCCACCAGTCATCTTATTAGCATACGAGAAGTCACTAATCACCTATCACTTTGGAGATTCCAAGGGCCTTAGGAGCTCTCGTATCAGGATCTGGAGATTAAGACCAAATATTAGAATAAAAGATACTCCTCTCACCCCATCACTCAAGAAATTACAAGGCTCTTAGGAACACTGTGTCAGACACTAAGGACAATGACCAAATATATATTTCTTATTATATCACAGTAGGACATCAAGTTAAAAATAGCAGATTAACCACATGTGTTCAACTGCTTCTCCCCTGGGAATGCCCTTAAAGTGACAGAAAAGGAATCCAAAGAGTTCAAAACCACAAAGTCAAAAAGAACAAGACAAGAGACAAGGAAGCAGAAATTTGAAGAAATCTTTGGGAAATGGAAAGCAAATAATGTGGTGATGACCATGTAGGAAAAGGAACCACCTAAATTCTTGCAGTAGATGGAGGGGACATTGATGAGAAACTGTCTGGTTGGCCTGCAACACCCCAGAAGTTCCCCAGACCAGGGGAGAAACACACCACAGATCCTGACTGTATGGTCCTTCTTGACCTGATTATTTTACAGTGAAGGCCGCTAGTCAATGTGTGGTTAAGGTCCACAGTGGTTCCGAGGGCCACTTTTGTGCCTTAAGCTTAAATAAGACACTGAGAAAGGCCTACTACATGGAAGCAAACCAACAGAGGAAAGGAAACAGACCATATAGAGAGGAGGAAAAACCTAAAACACAAGACTACAGTCAATATTGTGTTCTTTAAAATTTCTTTTAAAAGGGAGCCACGTAGAGGAAATGTGGAAAAGAGGATGCCATGGAAAAGGAATCATCAGAGAACAAGAAAGCCTGTTTGGAAAGTAAACGAATGATGACAAAACAATCGTTAGAAAACTTAACAGATAATGTCAAGGAAATATCCCAGAAAGATTACACAGACAAAATGAAGATTATACGATCAATCTGTGGTGTTCATTATTCAACCTGCATGAATTCTGAGAAGGCATAATAGAGAAGAGGAAAGGAAGAAATAAAATGAATAACAATGTTTTTAAAATTCCCAGAAATTAAGAACAAAAATTCTCATATAGAAATGCTTACTGAATATATAACTAATAAGTAAAAAAAGGAAACCGTTTCATCAAGAAATTTTAATGTAACTAAAAATAAAGAAAATCCTAAATATTTCTAGAAAGAAAACAAAAGTCATATACAAAAGATTTGGAGTTAGAAATAAATTTATCAACAACACAGAAGAGAGAAGGAGAAATGCCTTGAAAATTTGGAAGGAAAATTATTTTCAACTTAGTGTTCTTTCAAATTAATAAAAACTTTTTCACTCCTGCAAAGAGTTTTAATCTCCTATGTACACTTTAAGACATTACTAGAGAATGTGCTTCTGCCAAACAAGAAAGTAAAGCTAGGAAAAAAAGATATGGAATCCAGGAAACAGAACTCCAGCTGGGAGAATTGGGGAGAGGCTATCCCAAACCATAGCCAGGTAGCAGGCCCAGACTGGAGAAAGAGGAAGAAGGACTGTGGGAGACAGGGCTCCAGAGGAAAAACAAAGAACTGTTGATAGATGTCTAACAGAGCTGTTGGAGGATTTGGAAAATTTAGCTATTCCTAGAAAGTTAATCAAATGAAAAAACAAAATAATTACTGACTTCAGGAAAGACAAAATGTTCAAGAGACATAATCATTTTATATGACTAGTCTCAGTAGTGAACAGTATTTCATAGTCAAAATAAGTCATTATAAATACACATCATGCACTTAAAAATTAAAAGAAGGATATGTAATACATGGGGGAGAGAAGTATATGAGGGGAGATGAAAAAAAATCTAAATCTTTCCCTTCCAAGTGGAAAGTTTTGGATAATGTCTCAATTTAATAAACCAAGAAATAGCTATATAGGAATATAATTTTTAAATATGGAGTTACAAATTAGAATAAACAGCTAAAAAGAATTGAAAATGACTACTGTTGGAGAGCAGGTAGAGGTTAGGGAAAGGAACAGCTATTTTTCATTATAAATACTTTGATGCTAGAACAAGTGAAAAATTTTAAGTACTTATACAAATATGATATTAAAAAAGATTTTAAAAGGAGCTTTTAAGGACTAGTAGCTCTTGTTTTGAGAAAAATTTTAAATAAATTTTAGCAATTCTTTCATCTTCACTTGTCTCTCGTGAATTTTAAGTAAAAGTATATTTAATTCTTTTAAATGTCATAAATATATAGAAATACATATATGTAAATACACACATGACTACTAAATATCACTTTTTCCTCCCCTTCTTGAGCTTAATTTAGATAATAAGGGGCTTCTTCCTCATTCATTCTCCTATCCAGGCATCTACCAAGTGGTTGCTCCACTGAACACACAATCTTCCCAACCACTCCCAGAAACCCTGAGGCTCCTTGTTCTTCAATGCGGTCACCATCTGAAAATCATGGATTCAGTCTTTCCAACAGAATACTTTGCTGTTACACATCAGTGGACATTACACATTTCTTTGGTTGGAATGCCACCACTGCAAAAAATTATATTGATTTATTAAATTTTAATGGAAGGATCAAGGGTAAAAGAAATATGGGCTAATCCACTTCATACCCATTAGGGTATTTTGAGATTTTTTTAAAAAGATTTTATTTATTTATTTTTAGAAGGGGGAAGGGAGGGAGAGAAACATCAATGTGTGGTTGCCTCTCGTGTGCCCCCTACTGGGGACCTGACCCGCCAACCAGGTAGGTGCCTTAACTGGGAATCAAATTAGCCACCCTTGGGCTCATAGGCCAGCACTCAATCAATTAAGCCACACCAGCCAGGGTCAGGATGGCTGTTATTAACACAGAAAAATAATAAGGAGTAGATGAGGATGTAGAAAAATTGAAACCCTTGTTCACTGTTGGTGGGAATGTAAAATGGTTTAGCTGCTGTGGGCAACAGTTCAATGGTTCCTTAAATAAATAAACATAGGAAAAGTAAGTAAACATAGTATTATCATATGATCCAGCAATTTCACTTCTGGGTATATACCTAAAAGAGTCGGAAACAGGCACTCAAAGAGATATTTGTACACCTACATTCTTTACAGCGTTATTCACAACAATGAACAGGTGGAAGCAACCCAAGTGTCCATAACCAGATGAATGGATGAACCAAAAGTGATATATACATGCAATGGAATATTATTCAGCCTTAGAAATGAATGAAATTCTTATAGATGCTGCAGCATGAGTATGAAATAAGCCAAAGGAACAAATACTATATGATTCTACTTACATGAACTACTTAGAATAGGCAAATTCATAGAGTCAGAAAGTAGAATAGAGGCTGCCGGGGGTTGCGGGGAGGGGCGATGGTGATTGAGTAGTTTAAAGAGTCAAAGCTTCTGTTGGGATGTTGAAAAATTCTGAATATGGATAGTGATGGTGGTTGTACAACATTATAAATGTACTTAATGCCACTGAATTGTATATTTAAGCATGATAAAAATGGTAAATTTTATGTTATATGTATTTTACTACAACTTAAAAAAAAAAAGAAGTGTAGGGTGAGAAGACAAAGTTAAAGTGTCCTCTGATTATTATTTTTCCATTGTCCCAGGGGGAAAAACAGCAAGGAGAGGTGGTTCCCTTTATAGGTGTTCCCTCATTTCTGATCTTGTTCCAGTGCTCTCAAGACTTTGTGGAATACCCTCCTTCTCAAATCTCCAACAGTGCAAACTGCTACCCCATTTTGGGAAACTTCACTTCCTATCTATTAACATTGATGCTGCTCTAAAATCTATTCCTCACCCTGTGTCAGTCAGCTATGCTACATAACAATCACAATAATCTCAGTGGTAATAACAAAAAATGTTATTTCTCTCTTAGTGTTTGCAAAATACCAAGGTTTTGATTGATCATCCACATTATTAATGGTGATATAATCAAGCTACAGAACATTTCTATTACCCAAGGATCCTTCATTGTGCCCTGTTATAGTCACACCCCTTTCTTAACTCCTGACAACTAATATGTTCCCTATTTCTATAATTATGTCATTTTAAGAATGTTATATAAATGTAATCATATAGTATGAAACCTTTTGGTTGTCAAGAGGGTATAAAACCTGGTCTTTTACCTTTTGGAAGGTTGGTTTCTGAAATTGAGATCCCTGGGTGGACAACCTTGGTCACATCCCCTAACCATTGTGGGCCTTGCCCTTTCTGTTTCTCTTCATGAGATTATTTTTTAATTTTAATTTTATTTTTTACTTACAGTTGACATCCAATAATATTTTATATTAGTTTCAAGTGTACAGTGTAGTGGTTAAGCATTTGTATAATTTACAAAGTGATCCCCCCATTAGTTTAGTACCTGCCTGGCACCATACAGAGTTATTACAACATTATTAACTATATTCCTTATGTTGTACTTTACATGCCCTTGACCATTTTGCATCTACCAATTTGTACTTCTTGATCCCTTCATCTTTTTCACACAGGCCCCAGCTCCCCTCCCATCTGGAAACTATTTGTTTGTTCTTGGTATTTATGAGTCTCTTTCTGTTTTGTTTGTTCATTTATTTTGTCCTTTAGATTTCACATGTAAGTGAAACCATATGGTATTTGTCTTTCTCTGTATGACTTATTTCACTCAGCAAAATACCCTCTAGGTCCATGTTGTTGCAATAGTAAGATTTCATTCCTTTTTTTAGCTGAGTAATATTTCATTGTATATATATGCCACTTTATTTAACTGTCTACTGGTATGCACTTGAGTAGCTTTCATATCTTGGCTATTGTAAATATGCTTCATATATCTTTTTGAATTAGTGTTTTGGATTTCTTCAGATAAATATCTAGTATTGGAATTGCTGGGTCATAAGGTAGTTCTATTTTTAGTTTTTTTGAGGACCCTCTATATTTTTTTCCATAGTGGCTGCACCAATTTGCCATCCCACTAACAATGCATGAGGGTTCCCTTTACTCCACATCTTGCCAACACTTGTTGATTTATTGATGATAGCCATTCTGGTAGGTGTGAGGTTTTAATTCTTGTTGTGGTTTTAATTTGCATTTCTCTGATGATTAGTGCCATTTTTTCGTATGTTTATCAGTTGTCTGTATGTCTCTCTTTAGAGAAATGTCTATTCAGATTTTCTGCCCATTTTTAAATTGAAATGTTTGGGTTTTGTGTGTGTATGTGTGCACATGCATTAAGATGTATGAGGTATTTATATATTTTGGATATTAACCCCTTAACAGTGTGTCATTGGTGTATATCTTCTCCCAGTTGGTAGGTTGTCTGCGTTTTGTTGACAGTTTCCTTTGCTATGCAAAAACTTTTTAGTTTAATGTAGTCCCATTTGTTTATTTTTTTCTTTTGTTTATCTTGCCCAGGGATATATATAAGAAAATATTGCTAAAAGCAATGTCTGAGTTTTACTGCCTATGTTTTCTTGTAAGAGTTTTATGGTTTCGAGTGTTACATTTAAGTCTTTAATCCATTTTGAGTTTATTCTTGTATATTGTGTAAGAAGGTGATCTAGTTTCATTTTTTGCATGTATCTAATTTTCCCAACACCATTTATTGGATAGTCTGTATTTACCCTGTTGTATTTTTTTGCCTCCATTGTGAAACATTAATTGACCATAGAGGTGACGGTTTATTTCTGGGCTCTCTATTCTGTTCCATTTATCTATATGTCTGTTTTCAGGCCAATACCATCTTGTTTTGATGACTATAGTCTTGTAGTACATTTTGATATCAGATAATGTGGTACCTCCAACTTGTTCTTTTTTCTCAAGATTGCTGTGGATATTTGTGGTCTTTTGTGGTTCCATATAAATTTTAGGATTATTTGTTCTAGTTCTGGAAACATGCCACTGGTATTTTGATAGGGATTGCATCAAATCTATTGATTGCTTTGGGTAGTATAGATATTTTACCAGTGTTAACTTCCTATCCATGAGCATGGTGTATATTTTCATTTATTTGTACCTTTTTCAATTTCTTCTCAATTGTTATAATTTTTTTGAGTACAGGTCTTTTACCTTCTTGGTTAAATGTATTCCTAGGTATTTTTTTATACAATTGTAAATGGGATTGTTTTCTTAATTTCTCTTTCTGATAGTATATTATTGATATAAAAAAATGCAGCCAATATCTGAATAATAATTTTATATTCTGCTACTTTACTGAATTCATGATCAGTTTTAGTAGTTTTTTGGTGGAATCTTTAGGATTCTCTCTATATAGTATCATGTCATCTGCAAATAATGACAATTTTACTTCTTCCTTTCCAATTTAGATGCTTTTTCTTTCTTTTTCTTGTCTCATTGTTGTGTCTAGGACTTCCAGTAGTATGTTAAATAAAAGTGGTGACAGTGGACATCCTTGTCTTCTTCCTGATCTTAAGGGAAACACTTTCAGCTCTTCACCATTGAGTATGATGTTAGCTGTGGGTTTGTCATATATGGCCTTTATTAAGTTGCAGTATATTCCTTATATTTCCACTTTGCTGAGAGTTTTATAGAGTTGTTTTGAGAGTTGAATAAGTCAATGTATGTGAAAGGAATCTGTAATATTATATTTCCATACTTTGTAGAAAGTAAAGTAGGAGTTCAGTTTAGTGTTCTGTTCAGTTCATTCATTCACAAATTTTTTAAGTCTCAGGTGCAAGTGAAAGAAAAGAGTCATGCTTTGGAAACCTACTCTAGGAAGAGCTGGGAAGCCAGGACAGTATGCCAGTCCTTTCTCAGCTCTCCTTTTCAACTCCTCCCTGCAGTCACTATTGATCTGAGTTAGACCAATAAGTTTTTGAAACATGAGAAACAAACACAATTGAAGTGGAATACATTAAGTCCTACAGACTAATAATGAGGTTCTCAGAAAGCAAATAGCTTGTTGGACTTGGAAACCTCAATAAACTTAAGGCAAGAATTGCAGTGGACAAGCTGCAGATGGTTGTTCTGAACTCCCTCCTAAAAATGGCTGCCTGTACCCCACATTGGACTAAGAGTTCCTTGTGAGCAAGTGCTTTGCCTTCCTGAATTTGAATCCCTATTGTGTAGCCCCATTCTTGCTCATAGTAAGTCCTTATGTGGTAGAATCAACTTAGTTGCAATGATGAACATTCTTGGTTTCGGATTTGCAGGTTAGAGCCTTCCCTCGACTATGTGATGTGCTACGAGTGCTGCGGGAGGAACAAGACCAGTGCCTGCAGGAACTCTCCAAAGAGAGGACAGGAGACCTAGGCATGGTGCAGCCAGTCCCAGGTACGTAGCTCACCTTTGTCCAGTCCCAACATGGATCTTGTCCAGTCCTACTGTGTCAGGGGAAGCTTGTCTTCTGGACCAGGGTGAGGATGTAGGGGGCTGAGCCAGCTGTATTCATTCAGATAATCAGCTGGAGGGAAGGGTCTAGAGTGATTCTGGGGATCAATCTACACACACCCAAAAAGCCAGAGCATCCCTACTCTTTCTCTGGGCTTGTGCACATAGCCAAGGTTTTTGTACCATTCATTATTGCACGATAACTTTACCAAGGTAAGAGTTTGGTAAAAATAATTTGCCAAGGCAGTGTACCTCTCATCTATTCGCTCACCTCCAATGCTAGTTTGATGAGTGAGGTAGTCAAAACAGCAGTATGGAGCCAGAAAAACCCGGGGTCACTGGCTGTGCAACCATCAACAAATTATTTAACCTTCTGAACTTCAGTTTTCTGGCTTATAAGGTGGTTGTTTACTTTAGAATTAATAATAATACATGAGATAACATATGTTAAATGCTGGTATTTAAAAATATTATTAATTAAAATATTAATTATTATTACTAATCAAGACTTAAATATTATTAATTTGATATTTAAATGTTAATTTTATTTTTAGTCCCTTAACTTATGTTCTTTGTTTTCCCACATCTAAGGGCAAGGAGGGGTTGCATTAAGAAAAAATATGGGTGTTCAAATAAATACTTGTACATGTGTTTTCATAGTAACATTAGCTACAATATCCAAGAGGTGGAAACAACCTAAGTGTCAGTTGATGAATGGATAAACAAAATGTGTGTACATCCAATGAAATATTGTCCAGTTTTTTGGAAATTTTTTATTGTTATTATATGACAGTTGTCCCATTTTTTTCCCCTTTGCCCTCCTCCACCCAGCCCACCACCCACTCCCACAGTCAATCCCCACACTGTTGCCCATGTCCATGGGCCATTCATGCATATTCTTTGACTAGTCTCTTCCCCTTCTTTCCACCATTATCTCCCTCCCCTCTCCCTACTGGTTGCTATCACTCTGTTCCATGTTTCCATGCTTCTGGTTCTATTTTGCTTGTTAGTTATTTTGTTCATTAGATTCCTCTTACAGATGAGATCATACGGTATTTGTCTTACATTGACTGGCTTATTTCGTTTAGCATAATATTCTCCAGTTCCATCCATGCTGTTGCAAAAGGTAGGAATTCCTTTTTTCTTTCTGATGGCATAATATCACATTATGTAAATGTACCAGTTTTTGATCCACTCATTTACTGATGGGCACTTAGGCTGTTTCCAGCACTTGGCTATTGTAAATAGTGCTGCTATGAACATAGGTGTGCTTAAGTTTTTTGAATTGGTGATTCAGGATTCTTAGGGTATATTCCCAGCAGTGGAATTGCTAGGTCAAAAGGCCATCCCACTTATAGTTTTCTGAGAGAATTCCATACTATTTTTACACAGTAATTTAGTGGAAAAAAATTTAGTGTAAGAAAAGCACATAACATAAAATTTACAATCTTAACTATTTCTAAGCGTACTGTGCAGTAGTGTTAAGTGCATTCACATTGTTTTGCATCCAATCTTCAAAACTCTTTTCATCTTGCAAAGTTAGAACTCTACATCCATTCAACAACAACTCCATATTTCCCCTGCTGTTATTCCCTAGAAACCATCATTCTACTTTCTGTTTCTATGAATTTGACTGTTCTATGTACTTCATGTAAATATAATCATATAGTATTTGTCTTTTTGTAATTGGCATATTTCATTTAGCAAAATGTTCTCAAAGTTCATCAGTGTTGTAGCATGTAGAATTTTCTTCCTTTTAAGGCTGAATAATACTCCACATTTTGTTTGTCCATTCATTCATTGAAGGACACTTGAGTTGCCTCCACCTTTTAACTGTTGTGAATAATACTGCTATGAACATGGATATGGAAATACCTCTTTTAAGTCCCTAATTTCAATTTTTGGGGTACATACCCATAAGTAAATCTGTTGGAATCATATCAAAATTCTATTTTTAATTTTTCGAGGAACCACCATATTGTTTTCCATACTGGCTGTACTATTTTACATTCTCACCAACCGTGCACAGATGTTCTAATTTCACCAGATCTTCACCAACACCTGTTATTTTCTCTTGGTTTGTTTTTTGATAGTAGTCATCCAAATGGGTATGATATAATGTCTCATTGTGGCTTTGTTGCGCATTTCCCTAATAATTAGTGATGTTGAGCATTTTTTCATGTGCTGTTAACGATTTTCATGTCCTCTTTGAATACATGTCTATTCAGGTTCTTTGCCCATTTTTAAATAAGGTTGTTTAGTTTTTTGTTGGGTTGTAAGAGTTCTTTATATATTCTGGATATAAAACCCTTATCAGATACATGATTTACAAATAATTTCTCATATTCTGTATATAGCCTTTTCACTATGTTGATACACAAAAGTTTTTAAGTTTGATATAGTTCAATGTATCTAGTTTTACCTCTGTTGTCTGTTCTTTTTGTGTTGTCATATCTAAAAAGTCATTGTCACATCCAAGCTCATTAAGATTTCCCCATTTTCTTTGAAGAATTTTGTAGTTTTAGTTCTTACATTTAGGTGCTTTGTCCATTTTTTAGAATGTTTTTTTAATCCTCACCCAAGGAGAAAGAAGAAGGGGGAAGAAGGGAGGTAGAGAGAGAGAAAAAGAAAGAGAGAGGGAAACATCAGTTGGTTGCCTCCCATACACACCCTGATCAGGGATGGAATCCACAACCTAGGTATGTGCCCTGACATGGAATCCAACCTGCAAAACTTTGGTGCATGGGATGATGCTCCAACGAACTGAGCCACCTGGCCAGGGCCTTGGTCTGCTTTAAGTTAATTTTTGTATATGGCATAAGGTAAGGATCCAACTTCTTTCTTTTGCATGCAGATATCTAGTTTTCCGAGCTCTACTGGTTGAAAGCCTAAACTTTCCCATTGAATAGCCTAGGCAAACCTCTCAAAATTCATTTGGCCATATATATGAGGGTTTATTTCTGGGCTCTCTATTCTGTTCCGTTGGTCTATATGTGTGCCTTTATGCCAGTACTACACTATTTTGATTACTGTAGCTTTGTATTCTTTAAATCAGGAAGTGTAAATTTCCAATTTTGCTATTTTTTTCAAGATTGTTTTGGCTATTCCAGGTCCCTTGAAATTCCATTAAAATTTTAGGATGGCATTTTCTATTCCTGCAAATAAGATTAAATAAATACTAAATAAATAAATATTAAGTAAAATATTACCATCATTTAGATTTTGATAGATTGCTAAATCTGTGTATTGCTTTGGGTAGTATTGACATCTGTACCAGTATTAAGTAATCAAATCCATAAGCACAAAATGTCTTTCCATTTATTGTGTCTTCTTTAATTTCTTTCAGTAACATTTTGTAGTTTTCACGTTGGTTAATTTATTCCTAAGTATTTTATTTTATTTTTATTTTTTATTTTTTTATTCTTTATTGTCTTTATTTTCCAAGTTTGGCATCCAAACTTAGCAAACATCATGGAGATTTGTACAAACATATACATACATATATACACATACATTTTAAGTTTAAAGCCTCAGTTCTTCATTAAACCTTGTGCTCAAGCTCCTGTTACAAAGAGGTTTTCCCTGATTTTCCCTGATTTTTTCATGTTTTCATGTTCAGGGAATTCATGTTTTCCCTGATTTTTAACTTCTCACCAGTTTACCTCTTTGTATTTTATTCTTTTTGATGCTATTGTAAATGGATTCGTTTCTTTTTTTTTTAAAGTTGTTTCATACTACTTTATTTAGGGGGTTTCATTTTCACTCCTCAATAGATTTTATATATTTCTCATATACTTCTTCACTCATTAGTTCATCTAGTTTTGAAGGGTTACTCAGTGTCATCTTGATCAGACAACCATGTTTGTAACAAGATTTGTTGACAAGTCCTAGATTTCCTGCAAGAACTTCACTAATTTCACTTACTTCTGACAGAGGAAAGTTCACTAGAAGCTTTAACACTTTCCAAAGTGCCAAAATAATCTTATTTGTTCAATTTTCTCCCAATTTCAGGCAGACTACAGTAAACAATATTTCCCAATGCCTTCTGTGCAATATTGCTGATTCTCACTGTTCCAATACTCCTTTCTGTTGTTATTCATTCCTGTTTCTCTGTGAATTTACCCATGTAGAGCAGACTGGGGCCAGTGCACATTGTCCAGATGTTGCCCGCCCTTGGGCCCCACAGCCTGTGGGCAGGATGCCCCAGGTGCTGCCTAGACGGTGTGCAGATCACCTCCTGCACACTCTGAGCTGCTTACAGCACCTTGTTTGCTGGAGTGTGGGGCTTATTGCACAGCTCCTCTGCTGCCCCAGCTGCTGGGGGAGGGGCAGGATTGGCCTCCTGGATTTATTTTTTTAACATGAAAAATAGAGACATTTATTGAAGAAGTGGATTTGTTTCTTAATTTCTTTTTCAGGTTGTTCCTCATTAGTGTATGGAAATGCAACTGATTTTTGTGTGTTGATTTTTTTACCTATCCTGCAGCTTTGCTGAATCCATTTATTAGTTCTAACAGTTTCTTTTGTGGAATACATATAAGATCATGTCATCTGCAAACAGAGATAATTTTATTTCTTTCCTTCCAATTTGGATGCCTTTTATTTCTTCTTCATGCCTAATTGCTATAGTAAGCACTTCCAGTACTACACTGAATCAAGTGACAAAAACAAGCATTCTTGTCATGTTTATGATCTTACAGGAAAAACCTTCAGTCTTTTACCACTGAGTATGATGTTTTCTGTGGGCTTTTCATATGTGGCCTTTATTATGTTGAGATAATTTTCTTCTATTCCTAGTTTAAGTTTTGTTATTTTTTAATCGTGGAGAAGTGTTGAATCATTTCACATGCTTTCCTTGCATCAACTGAGATAATTACGTGGTTTTTGTCTTTCATTCTGTTAATATGGTGTATTACACTGATGGATTTTCATATATTGAATCA